TCTGAGCATCAACACATATTAAATTTATGTTATGAAAATTTTCTTTTTCCATTTATTTTCATTTTATTTCATAAACTACGACGGGACGAGAAAATGAGGAGTAGTGTATCTTTAAATTTGTCTGACATTCAAAATTTTATATTAAAAAAATTAAGAAGTTTTCTCCCTAATTTTCCACTTTATATTTTTAGACTTAAAATATTATATATACAAGTATATTGGAATATAATTTTTTTTGTTGAAAATTGTAGGCACCATAATTTTAAAATAATGTATTATCTACACTTTAATCTCCATAATTAAATTTTAAATTAATAAAAATAACAAACATAAAATTACAAAAGTGCCATAATATTTAATATGACATGTTTATAAAATCACATAAATTTGTATTTAAAAAAATATATATAAAACTATAGATTTATGTCAAGTATGTTCTTGAACTAAAAAAAAATATTTAGATTATTTAGGTCGAATTTGATAACGATTTTTGTTTTTATTTTTAGAAATTATTCTTACTTTCTCAACCTTTATTGGATATGTATTTCACCTTTCTTAAAAACACGCTTGAATACTTTGTCAAATTTAAGAAAACAAAAACAAAAATTTAAAAATGTATATATATATATATTTGTAATTTTCAAAATGTTGCTTTAACTTTTGGCTAAAATACTATTAAAAGAAAAGTAGATATAACAAAACAAACGAACACATTAGTAAGAGTAGCGTTTCTAAGCTTAGCTTTTGAAAATGAAAAGAAAAAAAGAGGAAAAGAAATGGCAATCAAATCGTATTCTTTGGGTTTATCATCATTTAGTTTTTAATAGTTTATTATTTCAACTAATAAAAATTAGTAAATTTTCATTAAATTACTTTTATAAGTTTGTGTACATTTTCTCTGTTTAATAGATTTCAATTACTTTTTAGAACAATAGGGGAATTATTCAAGAGAGTTTATTTCGCCTAGGAATTGACACCCAAGAAAATCAGGATTGAAACTATCTAATTTTGTGGCAAAAGAAAGACTACTCTAAAATAGGTCTTGTTAGGGAAGACATTCATTCATCATTCACTTTTTTATTTTCCTATTCATTTTTATTTTGAATAGATCTTTAAATTGTGTAGCTTAATGTCGAGGGAAAGAGATATGTTTAAGAGTGTTCACGAATGTTAAATCTATCATTTTCCTATAGTGATTAGATAGTATACATTTATTTTCCTTAACAAGGTGCCAATATATTTACTGTAGAAGGCTTCGCTGGACGACACGACATTCTCGTTCAAATATAGGCCGGCCGTACTTGTGATGGTTCCCAAGGATCCAATATGACCACTTAGGTCTACGTTGCCACGATATTGTTCTATGGAAGCGGGCAGGCAGTTAGAAGTTCGGCCCGATTTTTTTTGGTGTCGTAGGGGAGGGATTGACCTTTCTAACGCATATTCAGTGGTACCGCTCGGTTAATAATGCACCTGAAGAACCACGAAAGGAGGAACATACTTCGGAATACTTTGAGTAGAGGGAAATGATGTCAAGCGGATCGGAAGAAGCCCATAACCGGAGACCAAAAACTTCAATCCCGGTTAGAGGACCAAGATCTTTCATATGAAACAGCTTGCCAAAATGTTGCTTCGTTTGATGAATAGCAGCAGAATCATTGCCGGTAATCTTTTTCTTTTTATTATTAAAACTTCAATGGCAAGGATAAATATACCTGAAGCGCTTGACAAAAAAATCAGGTGTGATCTAGCTTAACCAAGCGGGCGGCAGGAGCAGCGGGCAAGTGCTTGGTAGGCCAACAGCCCGGTGAACCGGGCGGGGCACATATATAGACTCTTTTTCTAGGGATTGAAATTCAAATCTTCACATCTTTAATGTATTAAAAGAAAATCTTACTAAGGTTAACAATGTTAGGATAATGAAGTAAAAATAGGAAACTCATGTCTTATGAAGAAAATGATTTTCAATACTACTACCGATTTCTACCAGGAATAAGATATCGTTTTCTTATAAGGATTATAATATTTTCCTATAAGGAGTTATGATATTTGACTTCCTATAAATAGAGTCCTTTTGTGGTTATGGCAGTGTGGGAAAAGAATCTATATCCCGTGGGTTTAGTGAGTGTTTTTCATTCCTATACCTACTATATTGTGTTAAATATTTAGAAGCTAGGGACCGAGAGTGAATATTGTGATGAGATATTTGAGTGCTTGTATTCAATCTCTTTATTAATGGAACCTACATCTGTGCGGAAGATTGGAAGTAGCCTATAAATTCTTGTGTCGTTTATTGCTTTCCCTTTAATCTCTTATTTATGTTGTGAGATCGTAATGAAATTATTTTTGAGCATCTAATTCCCCAACCAACAATATTTCACATCACCCTAAAAAGATGCTTACTATTCAACACTACTTTATTCTTTGTTCTATTCTTAATTATACATTATTATAACTCCCATCACAAGAAAAAAGAAGGAAACAAAAAAGGAAATTAATGAATTAAATATTTGAATAGTAGTTAGTTAGATTGTCATATTTCATGTATAAAATATTGAAGCAAAAACAAAAAATGATTTAATTAGAATAGTTATTGAGATAAAGACAAAAACTTTAGTAATATGTGTGATATATTATATAATCTAATATAATTCAACGCCTCTCATTGTTTTTCTGGTCCATCTATTCTTTAGTGAAATATGTCAAATGTGTTGACAATTTTATTTAACATTAAATTGATTTGAGGCACCTAACCTCCGATTATTAACTCCTCTCAAAACTGTGTTATCTAAATTGAGTTGGAAATGAACATTAATAAGATGATAAAATTTAGGTATCTAGGGGTAAGTAAGATCTTTTTACTTGTCATTATAAAAAATTAACAGTTATTTTATTATATTTTATTTATCTTTATTTATACATTCATTTTTCTTAATTATCAAAATTTAATAGTTCTGAGTACGAGATACTTAATTAGAACATAAATTTTGTCATTAGTGAAAAATACCAAAAATCCACAAATTTGTATGGATTTTGAGAGCATYAAGAAGCAACTAGCTCGCTTGAAACCTTTCATCCATCCATCATTATAATATCAAGGAATCACTTTACGGATAAATTTGTTCTCAGATAAAATTCCTAATCTTCTAAGTTGTAAGTGTAGTATCAACCTATAAATTTGTTCATAGAGTAAAGAAGATAAACATTACTATTCCATTTAGTCTTACTTATTTTACAAAATGTAAATTCTAATTTTCATACTATTTTTTTCCGGTCTCTTTTATTTTAGTTTTTAAACTTTATATAAAATGTTTTTTAACCTTTACGATTTTCATATTTATTGAAAAAAAATATAAAATTAATATGTAGATGTGAATGTATTTAGTAAATCAAGTATTTAATTTCAAAATAGATTCAAATTCACATAAATAATTGGTGAAATTATTAGTAGAATCTAAATACGAAGGATTAAAGCAAAATATTTTAAAATTTAAAGAGTATGAAATTTTAAGAAGTAAAATATAATTTAAATTGAAACATTATTTTATCTATTATTCTTTGTTTAAGTATATATCTGGGGTGAGAATTCGAACTCACGATTCATCAAATTTCATCAAATATAGGTTCGTTAATCAATTGAGTTATGTGGGCTAAACATAAACACTGTGATTCGTAATCAATTATTAAGATAATTAAAGAATATATTAATTCCAATAATTTTGGTTGGTCCATTTTTCTTTTCCTTATTTCGGGGTACAATCATCATAAAATATGGGTTGCATTGTCACGCGTGAGGGCCACAACATCCCACACGTGGGACCAATTCTTAACCGGCTACCCGCTCTACACCACACCAAAAACGCGATGCGTCTTCAAGAATTTGCAAGCGAGGGAAACGTGAGTCGCAAGTTGCCGGTCGCACCCTGGTCCACGCTGTCAAATCATATTTTCCTTCTGTCACCAACTTAGGTCCCCCACTGGTGACATAATCATCACCCGGGGAGACATCGAACAGTGGTAAAATCGTAAATAAAGTGGCTATCTATGCCCTTTTGTGTAAAATGGGTACAACACAACGGCGTAATATCCTCCGAACGCGAAGCTGCTGCTGACTGGATCGCAAAATTATACGCCAATTAGAATTTAGATGACTTGTTCGTATGTGTAGTTACCGTTTTGCCCTCCGTTTCAGTCGCGTGATTCCCGTTAACACTTGAAACTTACGTATTCTTGACTTTTTGACTGCAGGCGCAGGCGTTATACTGCCCAAAATGCTATCCGTTAATTGACTAAAATACCCTTTCTCTCTCTTATTCTTCTTCGGAAAAGAGTACAAATATTTATTTTTAAAATCTTAATCTAATCTCTAAAATTTCATATTTATTCTTTCTCAAGAAAAAAAAAAAAATCATATTTATTCTATGTAGTGTTTTTGTGTATGTGAAAGAAAAAAAAAAGTAAGAATTTTGTTAAATTCAATGAGAAAAATTAATAATAAGTACCAAATAAATTCTTAATCATCAAAATAAAATATTTGAAAGTGAATTAAGTGTGAAAATTTAAGAATTCAAATAAATTCATAAAAAAATAAATGGTTACTTCTTCCCAACCAAATTATTTTGGACCATTATTTTGATTACAGGAAGAAACTTAACATTTTCAATTACACAAAATTTGTAAAACCTAGTTTCCAACAAAGTCAGTTATGTCAAAGTACCTCATTCTGAAGCTTCTATAGATAAAAATCCCCAAAACGGAAATATCTCCCAAATGGACTTTAAAAATAAAAATAAAATAGAGAATATTTTAAAAACATAGTATTAAAAAAAATACATATACATAATAGAAAGAAAGTGGTTGTGTATACATAATAGAAAGAAAGTGGTTGTGTAATAATAATTAATAGTAGGAGAAAACAAAATAATGAAAACCCCCAAAACCCCAAATAATTGAGCACCCCACCCAGCAGAGAAGGGCAAAAGCGTAAAATCACGAGAGTTCCCCATCCCCCACCGTATAATTCTTTAAACCTTCCCCTTTCCCGAATTCTGCTTTCCGCCTGAGCAGACAAAAACAAACCCTCCGTCATCGCCATCGCCATCGCCATCGCCATGGGCG